GCAGTTTTCATCCATAGTATGTCCATTTAAACGTCTGCGTTTAGCTTCAAATGGCGTCTTTGATGACAGTATTCTATAACCATTATTTGCATTCTTATCACACTTACAAAACATGTCATCGGCCTGAGTAAATTGTACCATTATAGAATTGTGACTTCACACGTGTAATTGAGGTGAACATACTGTGAAATTACAAATGGCATGACATTTTTGTGCCTTTTGATGTCAAGATCGGAATGCAAATAATGGTTATAGAATACTGTCATCAAAGACGCCATTTGAAGCTAAACGCAGACGTTTAAATGGACATACTATCATCCTGAATGTTTACAAACCTATAATTGGTCTATAGCCTTTGAATGAATGAAAATGCATATTTTTCAATTAAAGAAAACTTAAGAGAGTGTGGGCCGCTTCTGGTGCTTGGATAAGTATCTTAAAAAGGCAAATAAACAAAAATACGAGAAAACAAGTCTTGAACCAGCAATAACATATATTAAAATCTTTTTAAACTACTTATGACCACCTTTAGGCTACTTTAATTTATCACGTTTTATTGTAGGCTTGTTTATTGTGAAACATTTAGTCTAATTTGTGGTAGATAATCTGTTAAGGGAATAGATTTTTCCCTATAGATTTATATTACAACAACACCGGCCCTCGCGTTTTTTGATTTGCGCGAGCCATTCCCATCGCGAAGCTGATGGTCAAACATGTGATCTCTTTGAATTATTTAGAGAAACAGCCACTTTAAAATGCTATGGAGAAAGTCGAAAAGTATCTTAAAAAGGCAAATAAACAAAAATACGTGCACTTCAACCCCCACAATGTTCAAACCCAAACTACGCCCTTGCTGATTGTTTTGTAATACACAGAAAACCACAAAAAACAGGTGGTGATGAGAAAGCCATGATGAAGCAAAGCATCACAAGCAGCTTTTCCCCTGAGGAGGTAAATGCTAATATATAGAAGGTGCACTGTGTCATTCACACAAATACAAAACACCATGGTAACATGCACTAATATTATGCAATAAACATTAATTTAACAATGTTAAATGTTGATACGTTCTGCATGAATGAGTATATTAAATTTACATTTAAACTTGATGTCTATATACATTTCTTAGTAATATGGTATGTTTTAGCAAACACATGCAATTCTGTATCATGCTCATTTTAATTCATTGTTGAGTTACATTTCCTGGAAAACTGATTTTATATTTAGCAGTGAAATCAAGGTCTGTTGATACAACAGGCTTGAAGAATGTCCTGATGGGTGTGGATGATAACCTGGTGCGTCTAGGAATGTTAAATGCATGCCATTTTGTTTTGTTTTAACATACTTCTTAAAAGTTGACTTAACCCTGCCAGTCTGCATTTCAAACACTGGCTGGACTGAGAATGTTTTGTAGTCATATTTGTTTTGAACAAATATGAATGAACTAGGCCTTTGAATAATATGCTGTATTCTGTAGACGGGTGATGTGTCAAGACTGCACTCAGATTTTCGCAATGGACACTTCTCAATGCTGACTTATCCCTCGTCGTTATCTTTAAAAAAAAAAGTTTATGGGGAGATACTTACAATTATAGTGAATAGGGCCATTCTTGGAGTGTTTAAATGCAGACACGCAAACGATTAAGTAGGTTTTGGGAATTCTAAATAAAGTTCTTTCTGTACAGTTAGAAAGGATATCATTCTGACTTTGTAGAAAACAGAATGGGCTTTTTCAGCCTTAGAAGGCTGATGAACATAATTTACACCTTGTCTGACTCATCTGTGCCAGAGGCCCTGGTCTCCCTTCATGCAGAGAAGACTTTTGATCAATAGATTTAGAGGGACTTTTTATTCTGTATGTATAACAAGTGGGTTTGGTGACAAATTTTTGTCCTTCTGGGTCAAGCATTTATACCTTGGGCTCTGTAAAAACAAACAGCATTAATCCTGACTTCCTGTTTACTGCGGTACTAGACAGAGATGCCCCACCTTTGTTTACACTAGCTATGGAGCCTCTTGCAATCTCTTTTCATATTAATCACAGTCTGACTGGTAATTTAAGAGCAGGAAGAGAGCAAAAATTTCCCTTTATAGAAATTATGTGTTATTTTAATAATCTTCCTCATGGTTTTTATTAATTTTGGAGGCTTCAGTGATTTTTAAGCTAAGAGTTTTCCACAAGAGCCCTCGTCAATTTTACCATTTAAAGTAATCATATCATATCATAAGTGTCATATCATAAGTTTATTCCACTTTTGGAGAAAACAAAACAGAAACCTGCTAAATGGACAACACTCCCTCTTTTGGCTGGCAGAATTATTGCCATAAAAATAAACATAATTCCTCAAATTTTTATTCTGTCTCAAAATACTCCAATATTTCTGCCAAAATCGTTCTTTAAGACATTAGATCAAGTGATTTTATTTGAAGTGGTGGCCCAGTTAAAGTTCAGAAAGTATTTACAGCAACCCAAAATTTCTTGCACTTCCAAATTTCTTGGTTTATTTAATTCATAGCATTTTAGTTTGAAGTCAGTTTCACTATGGACTTTGGGTTCCTGCATTGGTTTAAATGGACAAACGCGCAGCATGAGGGACAATTTAATTTTCGCAGGCATCCCAGAACAAACTTCTGAAGCTGGCTGGATTGAGTCAGTCATATTAAATAGTTTCTTGACAAGTACTAAAACCATATAGTAGCAAAACGTTCACTTTTGTGCTGACAAAATATAGCCTATATTTACCTAATATGTAGAGCATAATCTACATTGTGATGTTTCGGAAAAACCAAGCTATAATTAGTTATTTTTACATATGTAGTATTACACAGTCAAAAGTATTTGTTCCT